TTAAGATATATATATATATATATATATATATATAATATAATAATATATAATCAATTAATTAATACTATAAATTAAATAATATTTTAAATTATAATTTTAACAAAACTTATATAATTATAGTTTTAAAAAATAATTATATAAATAAATATAATATAATAAGTTGTAAATATATTTTAAGATAATAAAGATGAAAATTATTATTATATTACTTGAATAATAATCACAAAACTGTATAGACTTTTCTTCTTTAAGTTGTGATATAGCAAAAATAAACATAAATTTAATAATTAAACCACTACAAAAAATAGTACAGTAAAGAATACCATACATAAATACTTTAATAATTTGTATAAAAATATTCAACCATTTTTTATTTTGCATGGATGCATTTTTTTTTTTAATGGAAAATATTTAAAAGCATCCCAAGATAAAAATCTGAAATTGAATAAATAAAATAATTATCAATAAATTAGATATTTTTTACAATATTAAATTTATAATGAGTTTGTAATTATATCTATTATACATTTGACTTACAAGTAATTGTAATATTAAATTATTTAAAATTTATGGATAAATATTTTTATAAGTTATATAAAAATATATAAACTATATGAATTAATAATTATTATTAATAAAATTCACTTACGAATTTTGTAATGTATCTTCATTTTCAGTTTCAGAATAATTGTTATCATAATTTTGAAAATCAAATGAAGAATTTAAACTATTAATTTTTGACATTGACATATTGAGAAAAAAATAATTAATGATACGTTATTTAAGTATACTACAGTAATTGTCGAAATTTTTATTGATATTTAGATTTAGATGTATTGATAAAATTGATAAGATTTGGAATTTGTCGAAAATTATCTACTCTAATCGAATTAAAGGGGAAATAGATAAACATACAACAGTTATAATAAAGTTTTTATTATACAGGTATATTAGTAATAGTAAAGCATTTATTTTTTGAAAATAATATATATATATATATATATTCATCAATAAAATTTTATAATATTATTATTTTACTAGAAGAAATAAATAATATAATATAATAGAAATAAATAATATAAATTTATATTCTATTTTTTTTATTAAAAGTATTTTAAGTTTGAATAAAAATAATCAATAAAATTCAAATGAAAAAATTTTTATTTTTAGAAAAATTTAATGTTTTAAATTGAAACTGATCAAATCAAATCATTAGATTAATAAATAATGAAATTCATTAATTAAAAAAAATTTAATTATTTATATAAATATGATTTTTATTATTTTTTTATTTAATAATATATATTTACTAAAATTTCTGTATTATATGATATTTTAAAAATTATTATTTGAATACAAAAATATATAAGTTAAAATTTTCGCATATCATAAAAATTTTATTCCATATTCGAAATTGAAAATATTTTAAAAGTATTACAATAAGATTTATAATGATATTTCTAATAATGATATTTTTTTGATAATGAATTATTGTATTACTCATTTAGAAATTTTAAATTAATAATTATATAATAATTTTTAATATTGAAACAAAAAATATATGTGTATATATAATCATAACAATATTTACATTTAAAAATTTTAATTTTACCGCTACCATATAGTTAAAATCGTATCGAATTCTGAGTCTTAATACTCGATAAGAAATAATCGATAATGAATGATCTCGTAGCACTTTTCATGAGATAGGTTCCTATGTGTGAATTACGCTTTGTGCTTGATTTGTCAATAATCGAGGATAAAGTTAAATGCCGGATTAATTTGTTCGGCATAATTTAAGTAAATTCGAAAAGAGAAAGAGAAATCTGAAAACCATGTGGCGTGTCCCAAAATTGGCTCTTTGGGCCGAAGCCTTCTTTGTTCAAATGAAAGTATTAATACCGAAGGTTGAAACGGTTTAACCGCGGAATACTTTCGTCGAGTACTTTTTAATATTTTTTCTTGAAATTATAAGTCTTTTTAAGGGGAATCCTCCCCGATATTTCATTTCTTTCAAAAATGGCATCACAGAGTCAAAATGCTATGAATATAAGTTCAACTATTTCACCGATGAATGGATCATCCGGATCGTCGACGACCATCTCGGTCTGTACTACGAAGATGCAATCTCTTACTTCTACACAATCTTCACAATCCTATCAACAACATTCATCTCCATCGTCATCACCATCGCCGTCGCCGTCACCGTCACTAATGCAACAACAGCATCAGACTCTACAACCTAATAATATAGAAGCAATTGATAAAAATTCCTCCAATACATTAAAAGTATGTGTATATTTAAAAATTTTGAATTTGAAAAAAATTTATCTAAACATTTTTTAATTTTTAATTTTATTTATTTATACTAATAAATGTTGGATTATATATTTATTGATAATTATTTTTTAAATTTTAGCGTAATCCAAAAATGGAATTAAACAAAACTGATTTATTAAAACTATTAGGACATCTTGAAGGAGAATTACAGGCAAGGGATATTGTAATAGCAGTATTAAAGGTAATTTACTCTTTGTTAATTAAAGTTTTTTATGATTAAGTTAAAGAATAATATAATAACATATTTTTTAAATATATATTTAATTAAAATAAGTTTTTGTGTATTTTATAGTCCGAAAAATTGAAACATCTGTTAAGTACTCGATATCTGAGTGGAACGTCAGATCCACATGCTGCACTTGCTCGTGATGTTGTTCTAGTAGGTGGTATGAGTGAACATGAACCAAATCAAATAAATAAACAAGTTGCTACTTTAGAAGCACTTGTAACACAACAAAGATGTATGCAATTTAAAATGGCCAAAGTTCTTAAAGAAGCAGAACTTAGGCATAGAGCAGTATGTACATTGTATTTAGTTCTTAATTAATAATAATTAATATATTTATTTTCTATATTATATATTTATATTTAATTTATCTTAAGGTTATTAAAGAATTAGAAGAAGAAAAACGAAAACATGAACATGATACTGCCCAGGGTGATGATATTACATATGGACTGGAGAAAGAAAGAACACGGTTGAAAAAAGAATTAGAATTAGAAAAACAAGAAAAAAAAAGAACTGGAATTAGAATTAAAAAAAGCAAATGAGACTTTAGAAGAAGAAAAAACTCGACAAAAACAAATAGTACTTCTTTTACTTGCTGAACGTAAAAAGATAATTATGAAGTATATAGAAGAAAGGAAAAGATCAGAAGATTTGGCACAGATATTAAGTGAAGAAAAAGTTCGAGTAGATTCTATGGCTGAAGGGCTTGAAGAAGAAAGTAAAAAATCATTGCAAATGGAAGCAGAATTAGAAAAACAACTTGCACAATTTGATATGGAAAGACAACAATATAAACAAGCTTTAGCAAAGGAAGAAAAAAGAGCTAAAGATCTTGAATTAGAATTAGATAAACTTAGAAGTGAAATGGATATGTGGAAAGAGTCTCAAACACGAGGTTCTCCAAGAGGAGTGGGTACAACTCCACCACCTCCTCCAGCCAAACCAGCTAATTTAGTTGCTATGCCTACCGTTAAATCTGCTAATGTAACACAGACAAGTATGTTATGCATAATAGTTATATAATTACATATATAAATATAATTTATTTTAATAAGCAGTAGTAATAAATAAACAATAGTTTTAATATATAATATTAAATGTGTTCATATAATATAAATCGAAAAAAAAATTGACTATTTATATATTTTAAATGCAGTTAAAGGTACAGTGCTGGGCACTGGGACGCCAATGGTTAGTAGTAAAGTTGTTCAGCCCACTGCCACGGTATCTAGTGTTCCTGTCAGCGGTCCAAGTAAGAACAGCACGTCTTACCCTAAAGTTGAAATAGGATATAAACGATTAAAATATTTTGGATATATCTTCTCTAAGAGAATATTCGTGTCGCATGACAGTGGATGAATTAACAAATTACATTTTGACAGTTAATTGAAAAAGAAATGGTAATTGTAGCTCTTGCTCATACGTGTATCGTAATGCATTTGATATTGATATGAATCTGTTATTTCTATTTATCTGATGTTAGTATATTAATTTATAATTTAGTACAGGTTCATACTGATGCGGAATTAATCCAATAAATAATTTATATCTAAAACATTTCTCTATAAAAACTATAAATTTTATATTAAATTGATAACAATTCTATATAGTATATGTTTAATTATTCCATATATATTTGTATGATATTATCTACTTTAATATGAAATAAATTGTTCCAGCATTTTGAGTATAGATATATTAAAATAACAATTGTATAATATTTAAAATAATTTCTTTGTAGCTACTGGGATAGCTAGATCAGTAACGCCTGGACAGGCACTACGCGGGGTCTCGTATACGTCCAATATTACGTCTTCTACTGGTGAAACTGCGACATCTTCTGAAAATCAGGTAAATTACCCTCATTTTTCTTCACATTCTACTTTAATTTGAAGATATTTTATATATATATATATATACTGCCCAGTTTTTTATATATATATAAAATATTATAAAAAGTTTTTTGCGTAATATAGAGCTTTTATAATAATAAAATTTTTATGTTTTATTATGTTTTAATCATTTATGTTGATTTATATTATTTTTTATACATCTGATTTTTATAAACATTTTATAGAATATATAAAAAAAGCATAATAATATATTTAAATTGAAAAAAATTTAAATACAATGTATTGCTTATATGTTTTAAATAGTATATATTCTCAAAAAATTATGTTAAAATTAAAAATTAATTGATAAAAATAAATTATCAATCATTATATTTTTATGCTGAATATATTAAAATACTTATTTAAAAGAATATTCATAATTAATAAATTATATTTGATTTCAATAAATTAATGAAGTATAAAAATTATGATTTTTATAACATTTTAATTTTATTAAAAAAGACTTATGAATATAATTGAAGATATTTATAAAAATAATCATATAAGTAACATTTTAAATTTTTAAATATTATAATTATTGATAAAAGTGTCTTTAAAAATAATAAAAATATAATTAAATTAATTTATGAATTAAAAATATTTTTTATTATTACTTTATATTATAATTATAATATATAATTATAATATTATAAATAAAATTAATATTATAAATAATATTATAATAAAATATATAATTATAATATTATAATTATAATATAATATATATATTATAATTATACACAAATTTTCTAGTCTTATATTTTATTAGGTGTTACATAAAACATTATGTATGATTATTGCATGATAATGATAAATATAAATATGTCATCATCCTATTTTACAAAGCACAATTCTTAAACATTTTTTGACTTTTTGTATTATTTCTAATGAATCGAACAGAAATTGCTTTGGGGATAAAATTGGTTTATTTTTTCCTCTAACACATGGGTATTATTCGTATTTATAAATTAATAATAAAAAACAATTAGTATAATTACTAAGTTAGAAAAAGAAGTTCATATATATATATAGAATAACAATATAAATATTACATAATTCTATGTTTTTATACAAAATATATAATATATAAAAAATGTAAAATACATAAAATATTATTAAAATATTGAAAGAAATAAAGAAAATGAACAGTAAGTTATAAGAATATATACATGTATATTAATGTTGCATGCACACATCTTAGATGCGTTGCATGTATCTTATAGTGAAATTTTGTTAATATTTTATCATTAAAATTTGTTTAGCTATTATGAAAAGTCATGTCATGTTATGTTATACAGTTACAATTAAATAACATGTAGATAACAAAAATTCATCTTTTTATTTTTAATTACACATACATATTATATACATATATATTTGTAAACATTAATTCACATTGTATTATTTTATATAAGTTAATACACTGTCAAATTTTAAGTCTGACTTGTATTATCTATTCTTATTTTGTACATAAGATTACTATTTAGTATGTACATTGATTATTCCTTAATTAAAACTTGTATGCAACTCACTTTTGAGCCTTATTTACAAATTTTCCCTGCTTGCCCTCCTAATTGCAACCCTGTATTTGCTATTGCTAACTTTATATGGTTTGGTTGTTCACCTGTTATTTTTTCAAATTGTGCAATGTATTTTAATATAAGAGGATGTTGATAGCATCCATATAGTTTCTATAGTAAAAATTTATAATTCTTTCAATTATTGCTCATTTTAATTTTTTTTTAATTATTATTTCTTATGATTTTTATTATTCCTTGTTTAAATAATTTTATTAATGTTTATAATTTTATAATTTTATTGTTTAAATAATTATTAAGAAAAATCATAATTTTTCTTAATAATCTCTTTTATTACATTTTATCACCGAAATGTATTAATTTATAATGATTATAATGATTTTAGTTTTATTTAAAACATTGAAAAATATTGGTATTATTAAATTATTTAGGAAATCTATTATTTTTCTGGCATTTTATTTATTCCTTCGCTTTATACTGGTGGTTTGGTATAATTTTGTTTCCTTTTTTTCTTTTTCTTCATTTTATCTTAAACGCAACGATCGTCTATACGTACTCTTCTAATGAAGGATTTTTTAAACGGATAGCTCGAACGTTAAATCGGTTCTCCTATGTATTCATTCCTCAGGCTGTAGACAAACGTGGAGTTGTACCTGCTCCTGTAAATGCTGGAGGCACGGTAAAACTTATACCATCGACGCAAACTGCAGGAAAACTTGGTTTTCATGTCGGCTCTGGCTCGACGATTCAAACATCTGGTATGCTGCCCTCGAAAAAGCCACCAGTATCTCGCGGCGTTCCTCCTCCAGTGCCACCGAATAAACCGGTAGTACCACCTAAAAAGGAGGCTGCTTATATTAGAAGGACTGAGTCGCAGGCAACGCAGGACGCCGTAAAACTTGGTAAACAAGCTGCGGCGCATCCTACTAGTGGATCTCCTGCTCCGCAAGTCCAACAGGCAATAGGAGCTTTTACTCAATCCTCCGATGAAGAGGTTAGTAATAAAGCTCCTCTGCCTTATTCATTTTATTAATGCGGAAGGATAATTCAACTTTATTACAAGTGCCAAAATATTTTAAGTGTTTCTTCTCCCTTGTTGAATTTTCTCCTTTTTGTTTCTCCAATGAATTTTTATCGAGTTTTCAAAAAAGTTAATATATATATATATATATATATGCGTAAATTATTATAATTTATAAATGAATGTTCTGTTATATATATTTTTACTCAGCAATTTTATAGATAATTAAAATTGAATGTTTTATGATTTACTATAAAGATTGAAAGATTAATTTTTTAGTTTTTTTTTCCTTTATTTTTTATTTTTCATTTAACTATATTTTTATATTATTTTGTATATATTAATTCACAATTTTATAAGATTTTATTAAAATATCATTTTGTAAAAATTCAACGTATTCTTAAGATTTTACATTCTAGAATATTACGTTCATTGAATAATTTTAAAAGAGGATAAATTGTATAAAATAAAATTAAAAGATATTTATTTAAAAGATAAAAAAAAATAATTCTATAAAATAACATTTTATTTTTTTATATAAGATTAATTAACTTTTATATAAGTTAATTTGTTTTTGTCTAAAAATTACGAAAAATATTGTAACAAGAATATTTTTTTAAAGATGGTACTCGATTAACTTCTTTGAATACTCGATGAATCAATGTTGTTTCTCTATTTGATCTCTCTTACAAGTGAATACAATTCAGAACTCGTGAATATGATTTCAGACAAAACCACGTTGATTTAACGGCGGGTACAAAAAAGAGTAAGCATTAGTAACATTTAAGAAAGTCTGAAAGCCGTGTTAACACGGATAAAACTTGGGGTATCGTGTTTTGGAACTACGCAACGCGGGATAACCCATTAAAGCAACGTTTCTGAGTCAACGAAAGAAACGTACGTGCTCGAACTACTTGTTCATCGATTGATTATACATCGCGTACCATAAGATACCATTACCTATTATTATTAATTCTCGCCGGATGGATCTATGGATCCATAGCGATACATCACCATCACAACACGAATCTTGCTTGTAACATTGTACTATAGTCGAAATGAATCGAAACGGGATTATTTGAACTATTTAAGCTAGATTCTGTAGATTCTGTAGTTTATTATCCGCGATCTTTCCGAATTACATTAAAAGTCATTAGATAAAATTAGTATCGTTGTAACGTGCTATTCGTAAGAAGGAACGATACTGTTAACAGTGGACGTGAATAATAAATGTTTATGCAACAGGGAACTTTAGACCATGTAATATGTTAATAAAACAAATACTACTTAGGTAGGGAAAGATATGGAAGGGTCGTTTAACGTTAGATCATCCAATTGCAAAATTACTATCTATGTTTTTTCCTTTGTCCTCTGTAATTTGACTGATTGATTTTGACGATTTTTTTTTATCATTATATATATCGAAAATAAACATTTTTTTTAGTATAACTGTACAAAGAAAAATATTTTAACGAGCTTTCTTTATAAAATTTACTCTATTTTTCCGATAGAATTTTTAGATTCAAACATTTGATTTAATTAAACAATTGATCGATTTAACGCGAGATGACCCAACAGTATATGCTATAATCACTGCCTTGCCTGACGTAATTGCATCGCCAATATACCGACGTTATGTCGGCGATAAAAATGATTTTAAATAAGTAGCGAAAGGAATAACTAATATTTTGCATCGTAAAAACTCGTCGATTTTGTTTGTCAAGACATTCATTCGAAGAATTACAAACGATAATCATCTAATCGTTGTTCTTTTGACAATATCTATAAGCAAAATAATATTATTCAAAATTTATGCGATCATCATATCCATTTGAAAATCTTTTTCAGACATCAGTGACTATTCATAATCAGAAATCAAAAAAATTTATTAAAAGCCAATTTATTTTCTACATTATTTCTATAAACATAATCATTAATTTGGGAAAAAATTTTTTCAATGATACAGGCCAGTCGTGCAATCATTGTTGAATAATAGTAATAATCAACAATTTTTATCGATATACAGTGTTTCGTAAGATGCCGTTGTGTCAGGTAGAACGAGTAATAATTTTTTAATCAAAAGTAAGGCAAAAATGTTCTTAATATTACTTAATAAGAGGCTCATCTCTCTATTTATTAAACTTGCAAACATGCCAAGTACTTACTCAAATATACGATCGTTCGAGAAGTGATTTTCCTTGAAGTGATCGTAGAAAAATATTAAGAATAATTTTCGGCTTTGAAAATTCTTTACCCGGCGCGTATGGTACATCTTACGAAATCTCTGTACAAATTTCGTTCCCACAATGCAGAGTTTATAACAAGGACATGAATAAAATTATTCGTTTGTACACAGTTTCTCTTGTATAAATTATAAATGGATGGAATTATGTTCTCATAAACGTATGAAATAAGTATGTACATACACACACATACACACATACAATCTTTTATTACTCACTCACTTAATCACTCACTCTCTCTCTCTCTCT